GAGGATAGTCCCGTTGAGTCTGAACCCTTTGATTGTCGAGTAGATCCTGTGGAGCACTGGTCCGAAACGAAGAAGCAGTGGTGTTGCTCACAGAAGCAACTTGGCTGTGCGGCAGTGGATTCCAAAGAAGAATCTGAGCCCTTCGACTGCAAAGTGGACTCTGCGGAACAATGGTCCAAAGCGCATCAGCTCTGGTGTTGCTCGAACAAGCAACTGGGCTGCGCGAAGCCGGACGTAACTCTTGAGGACGGTCCCGATGAATCTGAGCCCTTTGATTGCCGAGCAGTTCCTGTGGAGCACTGGTCGGAAGCAGAGAAGGAGTGGTGTTGCTCACAGAAGCAACTGGGCTGTGCGGCAGTGGATTCCAAAGAAATTTCTGAGCCCTTCGACTGCAAAGTGGACCCTGTGGAACACTGGTCTGATGCGAAGAAACAGTGGTGCTGCTCGAACAAACAGCTGGGCTGCACAGCAGAGGGCGTCCTTCACGGGGACAGTCCTGTTGAATCTGAGCCCTTCGATTGTACAGCGGATCCTGTGGAGCACTGGTCCGAAGCGAAGCAGCAGTGGTGCTGCGCGAACAAAGAGTCAGGCTGTTTGGAGGTCGATCCTGTCAAAAGTTCCGAGCCTTTCGATTGCCACTCGGAGGAAGTTTGGTCTCCTACGAAGCGAGAGTGGTGCTGCGAGGAGAAGCGAATAGGCTGTCCGACTTTCAGCCCCATGGAGTGGGACTGTCAGTCCGGTCTTCCTACTTGGAAGCAGAACTGGACGGCAATGCATGCGCTGTATTGCTGCGTTTTCAAAGGGGTCGCGTGTGCCGACGAGAAAGACGAGACGCCACTCCAGAAAATGAAGGAGGCTGTCCAAGAGGCCCAGCACAGGGAGCAAGAGGAGGAGGAAGCTGGGTTTTCTTGAGGATCTCTTGAGTTTACTTTCATTCATCTTACCATAGTCTTCATGTACAGTAAAGACTATATGACTATGGTTTCCTCAAAATGGTAACTTCTACTCTGTTTCTTGACGGCCACCCAGGAAGAGGAGGAGGCGGAGGCGGAGGACGAGCTCGAACAGGAACCAGCCGAGCCGGAGGAGGAGTTCGACTGTTCCGAGGGTGTCTGGACGCGGGATAAGGGGTTTAGGGTTTAGGGATAAGGGGATACTATTACTAATTAATCCTTAGCCCTTAGCTTATCATCAAGCCCTACAACCAGTGGAGCTATAACATAACACGCCCATGCAAACCCCTAGAATGGGACCCCTATAACTCCCAGCTATGCAATTCCGGCTAACCATCAGCCCAGGTCTAGCAAACTGGCAGCGGGGATTCTCCGAGGCGAAGAAGGAATTCTGCTGCCAGCGTGCCTTGGACTCCTCGCTTGGGGCCAAACCTTTCCTAGGTAGGATTAGGGAGACCCCTTAAAGGGGACCCTTCTTAACCCTACTTATGGCTATCTCAAAAGGAACCTTGTTGAGAGGATCTATATCCCCAAGGGTCCCCCTAATCCTACTTCCTAAAAGCTGGAGCATCATAAGTTAGAGGGGATAATTCATGTTCCTACCGTTCTGGGGTTAACTCTATGTGTGATTATGGTTTGGGTCTGGATGGTCGATTGTGTAAAAGAGGGGCCTAAATAGTTACCCATACTATTTTGGTGTGTCCTTATTAGAATTACAGTATAGGGTGCCCCCCCAGACCCTATTCTAATTACTAAGGCCTCTATATTCTAGCGGTCGCGTGTTTAGTCATGGTATGGCCCCCTGTACCTCCGCTCAGGTAGGAGGGTTCCGGGCTTTGAGGTTCGGGGTTTGAGGGTTTGGGATCTTCGGGGTGTGAGACTCGACGATGTTAAGGTTAAGGGTCAGGCTGGGAAGTTGCGTTTATAGGTGGCAAGTTGGGATGCAACTTTCATGCTCCTTAAATAGAGGCGCCCATGCGTCACTGTTTGTTGGGTTCATGGTTTGCATGGCTTGAGATGTGATGTTTTGGGGGTTGCGGGTGTAGCCTGTGTGCGCTGACAAGGCTCCGTAACGAAATCCGGAGTCGACCCCGATGGTGAGCACAGGTGAAACCCTGTGATGCCAGAACAGATCGAAGTGCAAACCAGCAGAACACACCAGGGTCTACGCAGCAGCTTACTTCTTGGTAAGGTGTTTGGAGTTTCATTTGTACAGGGGCTGTCGCTGTTGCCGCCGGCATCAATTATTTCTGCCAACCACGGAATATTCATCCCCTACCCTAAGGGTCCATATGCCCAAATGGTCTATCCTTCGGCCTGAAAGTAGTCCCTATACAGCTACTTTGGGGCTGGGTACGTGGATCCTCTTCGGCCTTAAAGTGCCCTAAACCCTAAACCCTGTTCCTACACAGGTACTTTGGGGCCAAAGTATATACTGTTTGGGTACATGGATCCTTAGGGCAAGGTTCTCCTTGGAGCCTAGCGCTTTTGGGTCTAGGGTGTCGGGTTTAGGGTGTAGGGTTCTGGGTTTATGGTTTTAGGGTAGGGTGTAGGGTTTAGGGTTCAGGGTTTAGGGTTTTAGGGTTTAGGGTGTAGGGTTCAGGGTTTAGGGTTTATCGGGAAGGTGCTCTAGACTTTCAGGCATGTTTCGAACAACCTCCTTCTTCAAGACCCCGTTGTTCCACACTGTTCGAGCTACGAAAAAGAGATGTTGGCGCTGTTAAATATGGTAGGCTTGTGAGCTAAACCCTATACCCTAAATCCCTAAAAACCCTAAAGCCCTAAAGCCCTAAAGGCCGTACGTACCAGGTTTCATGGCCCTAAGCCCTAAGTTCAGAGTAACTCTGACCTCTACCCATAGGCTCCGAAGTACTTCCTTTTTGGGGATTACCTTATAGGGTTTAGGGTTTAGGGTTTAGTTCCTTTTTGGGATTACGTTATAGGATCCAGTACAAAGCACAAAAAGGAACTACTATGGAGCCTATGGGTAAACCCCTGAACTACCTTGGACCTTGCCCTAAACCTACCCTGAACCCCGAAACTACCCTGAATGTTGCCCTAAACCTACCCTACACCCTTTTTACCACCCTATTCTTACGTTGAAGGTCACCATGTGGCCTGCCCATCCACAAAGCAGCTCGGAGAAGGATTTCGGGGATTTGTGTTGAGGACTTAGGAGTTTAGGGTTCAGGGTATACGGTTTAGGGTTCAGGGTTCATGGATTTACGGTTTAGGGCGGGGGTTTGGAGCTCAAAATTCAGGGTTACACCGGCGTGTGGTGTCGTTTGCATCGTATTCATGCTGCCTGAAGCTGCGCAAATTGGGATTAATTGAGGTCTTCACCCGTTGCCAATGGCCGAAAGCATCATTCAACTTGCAATGTCATGTTGTTGTCCCCTAAACCCTAATCCCTAAACCCTAGACCTTAGCCGTAGTTTTTTTTCTCACCCGCTCCTTCTTCGTGGTTGTAAGTCATTTGTAACTCATCGCCGGAACCTGCAGGTAACGCAGGGGCCTAACCTCGACAATTACCATTACTGTTTTGAGGGCTCCTTCTTATAATCATAGCACAATGCACCCCAAAGCCCTGTTCTAATTATTAAGGCCCCTATAGTACGTAAACTTAGCATTGTAACTGCACATGGCCGGCAACACGATACCACCCGCGCCTTCACTGGCCGTGCCGCAAGTCACCGGCCAAGCCTCCAAGTGCCAACTTGTCAAGCGCCTGGAGGGTTTCACGGTTCCGGGTTTAGTGTAAAGCTTACATCCCAAGCCAGAAGACTCCTAAACCCTAAACCCCTAAACCCTAAACCCATCTAAGACTCAAGAACCAGGAACATGATTCCTGTGGCATCCTTGCAACGCTGTATCGCTCCGAGATACAAGCTACAGGTCGAGCTAATGTAGGAACCTGATTAAGAAACCCTGGCCCTATAACCCCGATATATTATATAGGATTATTAGAATTCATAATGAGGACCCTAATCAAGACCCGGGGTTGCTTAATCAGGCCAAGCTACCCAAAAAAGCATCCGACAGGAAACTTCCCAAAGGCTGGAACACCCAGGAGCCCCCTACTAGGATCTGGGGTTCGGGATAGGTCAGGGTTTATAGGGATGTAGGCTGGAAAACTCCTATCATCAACCCTAAATCCTAAACCGTAAAGCCCTAAACCCATTCAACATCATGAAAGTGAGTGTTCCAGAACAGCTTCGCGTCTGCACTACCCTGATGTGAACTTCAATTATTTGAAGTTCATAAATCTGGTTTGGGGTATATCCTAAACCCTAAACCCTACACCCTTATAGTATTATGGCACGAAGAATCCAACGCGACGAGCAGAAGCCTCGCGAAGTGGGTGAGTGTCCAAGTTTCGGTACTCCGGGTTTAGGGTTTAGGGTTCGTAATGATCCTGCTCGCCAGTTCTAATATACCTGTAGTATAAGCCGAATTTATGAGCCCATTCTAGATGTTGCTGAAGTCCCAGTATGAGACAGCTTAGCTGCCCTAGCTTCGTCAGAGGTGGCGAATCGGGCCCTAAACTTTAAGCCACCCCAAAACCCAAAACCCTGCAGCAGGTTGGAAGCAATATCTGCTTTCGAAGCTACAGACAACCAAAAAAGCCCAGTCTCAAATTCAATGCAGACCCCTGATTACTACACTCAATGGCCCAAATACCCTTATCAGGGGAAAGGGGGGTTTAATTCTACGCGAGTCGCGAATCCTCATGCCCAACCATCTCGACTCTCGTATCAAAGTCGCTGTACTTTGCAGCTGTTATTCTTTTGTCGGTGCATTGCTCAACTTACTTATGTATGTAGTTATGCATATATTAACCGTAATCTTTGTTACTGTCTTCACCTCAAACATTAAGCTTGATTAAATTGGTATCTACATATTTGCTGAGTTTTTCTTGGTTATCCGTAAACCCGAAATCCTAAATAGTTCTGCTCCCATCCTTTTCTCTGCAGCTTTCTGGCTCAGGTTCACTTGCACTTCCGGTTCGCCAGAGTTTTGGAGCGTGAAGCGGACCATTTGGTGCTGCAGCCCGCCTGCAGTGAACTGTAAATCAGGATTCAGGCTTTAAGGGTTAGTAAGGGTTGCTGTGAGAGTTACTCTAAAGGGTGAGGGTTGCAGGGATAGTAAGAGTTGCTGTGCCCTTACTATGGTAACCCTGCGAAGGCCAGCATTTCCGGATCGATCATCCAGCCTGCGCCGCTGTTCCCGAAGACCCCGGCGAGGCCGAAGAGGAGTGAGTGGTCAGGTCGACGTCGGTTAGCTCCGTATGGGTTTTGGGCCATGAGTCTACCGCGCTGTAGGGCCTATGCGGCAGGGTCGTCTACTCTATACCCCTTCCAGCGCAATTCTCTAGACCGCAGAAGGCTAAGTCCCCAAACCCCTACATACCTACACCATAAACCCTAATCGCTACGGAATTTGGGTTTAGGGTTTAGGGAACCTTACCTTCCCAAACCCTTCATTGCCTTGTGCAGCTGCATGCCAAGCAATTTATCGAGGTAGCGCCGCGCAATGCACCAGTGGAAGCCAGAAAGCAAGCTCGTCGGGTTGGGGGTTCAAGGCCCTTTCCCAAAGGGTCCAAAGCTCGTCGGGTTGGGGGTTCAAGGCCCTTTCCCAAAGCGTCCAAAGGACACAATTATCAGTTACTTGGGCTAACTAAAACCCGAAACTCTACCTCGGTGTCGGATAGTAGCTATGTATGTCAGTATTTTTGGGGCGAGTATATGATTATTAGGTACTGCGACCCCTAGGGGTTCCTGATGAGTCAACTCAGGGGTCCGAAGACTCCCACAAAAAAAGCGCTGGGTTGATACTCTACTGTAGGAGTTTCCGTTCGAGCTACCTATGACTGACCCTAAGGGTCCAAGTAGTCCATATTTTATGGTTTTTGGTACTCTAAAAAGCCCTAAAGACCCATGATAAGGAGTAGAGGGACCTAGGGTTTAGGGTTGATGGTGCGAAGCTTCCAGTTTGGCTCCGGATCTTAGGACGAAGTCATGACCCGGCCTAAGCATTGCCCGAAGGGCCCATGTACCCAAATCGTATGTCCTTTGGCCTTAAAGTAGTTCCTAAACCCTAAACCCTAAACATTCCTATACAGGTACTTTGGGGCCAACGTCTATACTCTTTGGGCACATGGACCCTTAGGTTTAAAGAGGCGAAGCCGGAGCAGGGTCCCTAAACCCCAAACCTCCTAGATCCTTAGCCCCTGAATCCGAAACCCCCTTAATCTTTAACCCCCCAAATCCCAAACCACTAAATCCTTAACCCCTAAACCCGAAACCCCTGAACCATAAACCCTGGATCCTAAGCCAGAAAGAGGATCGGACCAAACAGACTAAAGAAATCCCTGCCATGGCAATGCGGTCCGCCGGGCAGTTGAAATCAGCGAAAGCTGCCCCTGAATCCCTGCCGTGGCTTCAAGTTGCCTCTTGCCGGACGA